GGGGGATTGAACCGCGGTCCCTGGGCTTTGCTAAGCTTGTTCTAAGTAGGTGCTTTAGACCACTGAGCCATCTCACCAGCCCCATCTCATGTAATTTAAGAGCTACTTGCTTATTGCATCAGATCCTGGTAATGGATATACATGAATCAAAAGTGCTTTGATTAAAAATGATGATTTTTTTTCTTCTAAAAAAATGTGGACTAAGAGTGTGTTAATTAGTCCTCTGACTGGGTTAGCATAGCTGTGGGTATGGATATTTGGAAAGCCCACTCGGGGTATTTGTGATACCACCCAAAGGACTTGTAGGCTTGATGAAATAAAAGGGAAAGGGAGGCCTGCTGCTGCTGCTGCTGCTGCTGCTGCTGCTGCTGCTGCTGCTTGATGCTTTTCTTCTGCCAGTCCTCTGTCATGGTTTGGGGTTTTGCAAGGTAAATAATACAATACAGGACACATTTTGTAAGATGATTTTATAATGAGTCACTCAAAGAATTACATACAAAGAGTTCAGGAAATCTGTACACACTCTAAAGACTAAGGAATCCAGCTGAGGGTCTAGATCCCACAGTAGTGTCCTCATGAGTCCAGCTGAAAACCTAGACCCCATAACAATGCCTCTCGCAAGTCCAAATGGAGGCCTAGAATACATGACAGTGTCTCAGGCAGGCCTACTTCACAGATCTGCACTGGAAAGGCCCAGAGGTTAATGGTGAAAGCTAACAAGTGGGATGAAGGATCTGTACTAGCAGCCAGTAAGCAATGTTCAAGGTGAGAACCAGACCTTTCCCCAAAAGTACCACAGCCATTCTCAGCGACAGTGAGATCCCAAGCTCCTCCAGTAATGAGAAAAATTGACTTCCGTCAGGAAAGCCAACATGACAAGCTTCTCCATGAATCTGAGAAGTGTACCATCTTCCCCTCTCCATCGAGAAAGTGATGCTCAAGATGAGGACCAGAGGCCCTCCCCCATAGAATGAACTGTAGGCATTCTCAGTGACAGCGAAGGTCCTGAGCTCCTCCTCCGACAAGGACAGCCAAGCACATCAGGAAAGCCAGAATGACAAGGTCCTTCAGCAGAATAGCTCAAAGAACCAGTAGCTTCTTCCGACAGCTTCTCCAAACAGTTTCCCTAACAGCCTACCAACAGCTTCAGTTCTGCCTCTTATGCTGTTGG